CTGTTAATAATGTCTGTAGAGCAGTAGTATTCAGTTGGCCCAAAGACAATAAGAATAGGCTGACTGCATATGCTGTGCATGATGTGTCAGACAGTTATGAATAGCACTCAGTTTGCAGATGAGTAATCCTTCTTACTACAGCAGAATACCTCATGATGTAAGCCATTCATAAATTGAGTTTCTGTGGACTGAGAGTATCCATTTCAAAACGAATCAGCAATAAGTAAGGCTAGAAATGACAATTTAAGCAAATTCATTAGTCAGAAAAAGTCTGACACCGCTTGTTTGTCAAAGTTAATACTGATGAGTGAAGCGTGCTTTTTTGTGTCGATAATTAGTCCTTGTTCATGAAATTTTGTTGGGATCACACATTCACTGGCTTAGTGAGAGGGCTGAAGTAGCGTAAAGATTTGAAAAAAACAACTCTCAGGGCAAAGGTGATGTTGAGAATATTTAAAAGACTGACTTTTGATGGTTTTTGTACAAGCTTGAATTTACAAGCAACCAGGGATGACAGTGAGAATCAGAGGGACATGTCAAGGCAGGACCAGAATAACAGGTAATATTCAGACGCACAGCAGCCTGAAAAGTGTCATAGTTTTTCAGTCTCAGTTCTGGCATGTTTTCTTAGTTACTCACGAAGACCCATATGGAAAACATTTTTAAAATTCACTATGTTCCATCGTTATCCCAGCTTATGTGTTTTGGCCTCTTGGAGATAGCACACATTCTGTACATCTGCTGTAAGAAGAGGATTTTCAGAGTATGATAGTACCTATTGGAGCTTCATCAGAATACATTTTAGTTTGCATAATACTTTCAATTTACTAAAAGGTAAATATTCTTTGTACCTAAGATAGAAATCAGTGTTATATTTATCATTCAGATGATAAAAGTAGTATTGTATTTTAGTTTTATAGAATTTATTTGGTTCATTAGTACCGATGAAGTTCTGAGTGCTATGTATGCTGCTTTTGGTAAATGAATCTTTGCTTCTTGATGTACGTAACAGATGACAAATTGTCATCATGTTATGGTTTATTCTTAGGTCAAATACTTTCAGTTGATTTCCAAGTGATTGAATGTCCTCTCTTTTTCATTCACATCTTGAGTGCTCATATTTGGTTAGCATGTTTATGCAGGCTGTAGATGAAACCTTTTAAAAGACACATCACTAAAAAGAACACAATATGGACTACACAGTCATGTAAGGACTTCTGAAAATGTTTCTTTAAATTTGGGCATTAGTGGATTGAGTGCAGCTGTGACATGTATATGACAAGAAAGGATACTCAGTCAATGCCCATCTGACAGTGTTAACATAGAATAGATGCAGTATCTTCAAATCCAGTTACATAGATCATCTCATAACCAGTAACAAAACAATCCAGATTAGGATTTGGTCCTGTTTTTATAATATTTCCTGCTTTGTAGAATTCACTTTACACATTGGTTATCAAAGGCACGGAAGATAATTTTGCTGGTATACTTTCCATTAGTGAGTCTTCACTTGAAGTATTGCACTTTCTGTGAGCAGCCCATTTTAAGGGCATAGGCAACTGGAAAGAACTGAGACTGATCAAAATGTGGTGAATTATCTCTTTAGAATCAAATGGCTGAAGTAAATCATGGAGATAGGAACACCAGTACTGAGTGCTTTTCACATATATTTTTGGAATTTGCATAGAATTCAGAGATTTTGAGATGGATTTTAAATGGCATAAAATACAATTAAGTAACTTATTTTAGGGAAAACTGGTGATAAATTTATGCTTATCCATTTTAAAATCCCTCATTTTAAATGCAGGCAATATAGTAAACCTCAGGGTTGTAACATAGCTAATAGGATCATGAAGAGAAGAATGAAAAATAAAAAATGACAAGTCAAAAGTCACAGTAGGGATGTTAATTGAGAGACAGCATCACACATGAAAGATATGCAGCTTTCCTGAACTGCCTTCAAATCACAGCAACTTAGAAATCTAAGAACACTAGTATTCTCTTTGGTTTTCAAAAGCTGTCATTTTAGTCTAAAAATTAAGTACGTCTTGAATGGCAGTACTTATGGAAGGTTCTGTATTTGAATATTTATATTGTGTTTAGTTCTGCAATTACTTTTAGGAATGACTTAAGTTGACTGTGATACAGGAGTTTAAGATGAAATACATCCTTTGTATTCCTCTCTTATTAAAGTTTGCTTCATTTTTTGCTTAATAAATGCATTAAAAATTGTGACTGTTTCATAAAACAGAAGTACAGAACATGTTATCACCAGTTCTATTCTTGAATTCAGCAAAACTGAGATGAAACATTGGTTAGAAATTCAATCTTCCTTGTGGAAAGATGTTGCCATAAGGCCAAACTGCCAGGCAATGCAAAGCATAATCTTTAATTTATGAACTTTGCCATTTCTCAAGAAGTGCAAGGGTTGTAACTGCATCTGATTGAAATGAAAAACTGGGCATCAGCAGTATACCATAATGCATTTTCTGAGGAGTCCCCTGGCAGCTCTGAACCTTGCAAACAGTTGCAGAGGTATGAATTTCAGAGAATATAATGCAAAATCTTTCACTCCCTTATCTGAATGAGGTTTCAAGTTTCAATACAAGGAAATCCTGGTTGAAACTAGTGTTCAGTATATTTTAAATTATTCTAAGGTAAAATTAAATTGAGTAAATATATAGTGTTGATGTTTGAAGATATCATCCCATAATAACATTGACCTTCACTTATGTGAAGTAATTTACCTAATGTGATAAAATGTAAAGTATTCTTCTTTGCTTGTTTCTGGTGTTAAATCAGATTTTCCTGCTTAGTAACCTATGAAGCTTGCAAATATAGCAACAGTCTCATTATGTGCAATCATGTAATTTGTTTCATCATGTGGAAGCTACAAGTGTATTTTATTTGCTTCTATTTGAAGCCATAGCTGTTTGAATTACGTGATTTTAGACATAGTTTTAAAATTGTTTATTCTGAAATGATGGCCTAGGCATTATCTATGGACTGAGAGATCTTGGGTTATCTGTAAATCATGCCTGGATGTAGGTTTAAAGTGCTGTGAGGGTTTCACCTCTATAGAATTCACCTCACTGCTTAACTTAACACATTTGATACCACCATTTCCATATAGCAAGGGTCACATAGCACTGCATTTGAGTCTGTTCTGGATGGAGTTTTGAGTCATAAAAGCAAACAGTGAATCACTGCCAAAACTATACCATGAGAATACTTGCCCTACTGAAAAAAGGAAACAGAAGTTTAAGGAGCGCAATGAGCAATAAAAACATTTTAAGGTCTAGTTTTTGTTGTCAGAGATAAAATAGGCTTTAAGATCCTTTGCTTATTGACACAAATCTATGCAAGGGCCTATGTTAGTATGTAGTTCAATACAGGAGTGCATGTTGTGTTTTCTTTTTGTTATTGTTTGTGGTGATGTTTTTTAAGCAAATTTCCAGGTGTTCCTACTTACTACATACTGGCATTTCTTGCAGAACAATCTTACCTAGCACAGATGGGATTCCTTTCAGGTGAAACTGAGGATGCACTCTGGGAGCACCTAATATACTCCAGCTATTCACTGACTGATTCTGTGGGGCCAGGCTAGAGCTCTTCTGAAGTAACCACATCAAAACCGAGTGTAATGCAAACATTAGAACCTTAGTACCATCTGCCTCATTCTCCAGACCTATTGCTGTCTCCGTTGCTTAATAAAGAAGTTTTTTAAAAGCTCATCAAAGCAGTGAAGAAATAAATAATTTTTGCAGTGAATCTGAGCCAAATTTCTTGCACAGGAGATAAGAATTTCTGAATTTTGTTACTCGTTTATTCAAAAGATTTATATTATCTCATAGGAACATGTAATAATGTCCATTTTCTGAATTATTATTAGGAATCACTTGTACTGTCTCAGTCTTTTTTTTTTTCTTTTTCTTTTTCCTGCCAACCCATCAAGTTAAGTGACTTTTTATCATTTTCTATTTAACACATATCATGTTCTCACTTAGCTGATCTGACTTGTGCATTTTCTATTTTCAATGTGACAGGAAGCTCCAATGTACTGTAATAGGGGAAAATATCATTAAACAAGTCTATTTCAGTGTTGGTTTTATCTCATGAATTATAATATCATGTTGATGAGAAGTGTGCTATTTCATTATTGTTACTGCAGCAAACCAAAAATGTTTTGAGCTGGCAAGAAAAGGAAAATCTGTTGAGAGTGCAGTAACAAAAATCATCAGCATTGGAAAACTACGCTTGAAGGGTTTGGTTCCATAAGATTTAAGAACATTTTACAAATTGATTCTAAATCTATAATCTTATAACTTATATTTTCTGTAAGTATTCCAATACTAAAATAAAGCTTCTTTATCTTCTTGGGTGGTAGGGCACTGGAACAGGCTCCTCAGAGCAATGGCCGTGGTCCCAAGTTGACAGAGTTAACAAAGTGTTTGGACAGTGCTCTCAGACAAAGGGGTTGAATTTTATGTGGTTCTCTTTTGAGCCAGGAGCTGGACTTGATGGTCATTGTGCATCCAACAAAACTCAGGATCTTCTATGATTCTACGATTCTTCTGGGTGATATGGTTTGGTGGTGAATTCTGCTCCTCAGCTAAAGTTAGTATTATCCTATGGTTTTGTCCTATGTGGAAGAACTCCTCAATTAGGCTCAGAGTATGGTGTATTGCTGGGCATTGTTGTGTGAATTTAGTCCTTGTAGAGTGAAAAAAAAAAAGAAATAATGTCTTATTCTTCAGGGTTTAATGTAGAAAGAAATGGGTAAATGCACAACACATTGCAGTGCACTTTGTTTCTGGATGTTAATGATTCACTATTGAATATTGCTATACTTGAGAAAAGAAGCAGTATCTTGCATACGAAATAAAAGGTATACAGTCTTAAATCTCTTTTGCTTTTGATTTGTCTAACTGACAGAGCGTTGCTTTATAATCTGACATCAAGGGTTATTCTTTAAAATTCATATTTATCTGTTTTTACAGTGGCCTTAAACTTCCAGACACCAGGAATACCAATGGAACTGCAAAATGGGAAATTCTTAGACAATGGTGGTTGTGGATACATTCTGAAACCAGAATTCCTGAGAAATCGCAATTCAACATTCAACCCACACAACGTGGGAAGATATAGTAAACCAATATCTCTGTCAATAAGGGTAAGCTTAGTTGATTGTAATTTGCTTGATAAAACATAAAAAAAAAAAACTGTTACACATTCCAGGCCAATTTATAATCTGTTATTTTCTAATATCACTCTCACTCCTGGTTGTTGGAAAGTTTATTGTTGTTTCTCCCAACACATCACTCTCATATAAATTTTATTGCTGCTTGGATGGTTTCCCATCTGTACATCACTTATGTTTACTAAAAATATCTAGATGTTCAGAGTAGATGAATTTATGAACATACATGATTTCCACAGTGTTCGGTACAGAAATCTAAAAGTACACAATGTAGTTGATCAAAGAATGCCAGTTATGGCTGTATATACTGAGCTCTGAAAGCTTTCAAAAATCAAATGTACAACATTTGTATTATTTTCTTTAAGAATTAGCAATACTGCATACACTAAAGTAATTGTACTTGACAAATGCAAATATTTTAAGATATGCTATCAAGCTTTATGCATCATTTAAGTTTCATTATCTTCTTATGCATACATAAAATATTATTTATCATCTTAAAATAGTATAAATAACTGTAGAAAGGAAGATGAACCAATAAGCCTTTGAATTATTTCTACTTCTCCAAAATTTAAATCTGATTTAATTCTGAAAAATATTTTAAATAAATGTCATTTAAAAATAATGAAAAATAAAACTCCTTCTTTTGAGGTCAAGTAAATGTTTTATAATTATTTGCTGGTTGGAAAACTACCTTTTCCCAGTGAAAATGTGCTATTTCTGATTGTACGGTATACTACTTGCATAAATGCTATTTAATTAGCATAAAATTAATGTATAATTGATATTTCTTTCAGAAAAATAAATAGCGGAGATAAAATATTAGCTAATAGCAATTATAAAATGCTTACATAATGTGTGCACCTAATCAAGAACATTTTGATGTCCTAACTGCTAGCATACCAATTACAAACAGACATGACTGGATGATTTGAAGCACCCATGCGTATACATCTGTTACTTTAGTCCTTGATTATATAAAGCTGGAGTTAATTAAGATGAGGAAAACTTCCTGACTGTAATCCAGGAGACAGACAATGGAAAGGAAATGTCTGAGTTCGGGAGGAGCTGGAACAGAGAAAGGCAGGGTTTTAGACTGATGACATAGACTAGGATGACAGACTGGATAGCAGCAGCAACAGCATTACACCAGCTGTGTGTGGGGCTGTGGAGCTCCTGCAGAGAAGCAAAAAATGGGAAATGGTAGTTGAAGACAAAAAATATCTGGAGTAGCAGTTAAAGGGAAAACAGTTTCTGCTAAAGATTTACTTGATGAATTGAGAAATAACAGTTTTTGGGCAGAGGTATAATATACCTGAGGTAAAACTCTGTTAGGCTGACTGATTAAATTTGGAAGACACAAGTGAAGACAAAAATCATACAGAACTTGATTTCATTTAACTCAGTACCCTTTCTTACCTGATGTGCCACAGTTGCCATTAGGAGAAAGACTGTATATTGCTATTGAAGAAGAAATACAAATGTACAAGGTGTTTTATACAGAAATTTCTAAGCCTACCATGCTGTTTTCTATTCCGTCTGTATGTCTGTTTCACCTTGGATCTCACAGGTGGAATAAGTTTTAGGATTTGAGTGATAGGAGGCTCTAACCAGCACCTTTTTTTCCCTCTCTGTCAGAGACATAGGTTGAGTGGGAAGCAGTACAGTTGGATTTTAGTAAGGATGTTCAGAATGTGCCAAAGGCCCTCCCATCATTCTAACTGAGCAGTCTAAATGTCCATGCTTGAATTGTACTAACCTTTTTAATGAGGATAATTCTTTAGGAAGGAAACTGCCAATACCTGCGTCTGCTAAGCAACTGCCAGTCAGTGTTTCAGGCTAGAACTTTTCTTGGATCAAGGTGTTACTGAAAGTACCTAAGCAAAATGCACGGTCTGTGCTTTTTGACTTTTCGGTGAGTGACACGGGAGTAAGAATCTGTATCACGAGTTTTGACGTTTTCTCCTGAGATCTGGACCATAAGCGTCATGTCTCTCACCTAGGTTTGCAGGTTTGTATCTCTCTCGATACACTCCAGCATTAACTGCTAAAAAGCAGATACTTTACAGATATGCTCTCCTTGGTGTCCTGAGATACAAATAGTAGGAAAAGTTGTGACTTTCATAAATCCTTTCTTAGGCTGGGTGCCAGATTATCAGGCAGTCTGAGTCAAAATTTCCAGGTAGCTAACTAAATTAAGCATAATAACATCCGGGAGCCTGCTAAAGGGTGAGTTTTTATATGTTCCTGTGAAAGAACAGGAACACACTCTACATACCCTACAACACTTGTGTTGGTGTCACCCTAAGTGTTACTGCTGGTCTAGTAGGCACAGCTTTGACAGAAAAGTATGGGCTTGGTCTCAGATAAAGCAACAATAATCAGATTGATTTCTCCAACATTTTTATGAGAAGTATAAATAAAAAAAGCGTAAATCTGACATCATTATATAAAGCATAATGATATCAAATTAGCCAAGAATTAAATTAAATGGGAAGCACCATATTCTTAATTTATTTCATTGTGTTTAATGGGTATTTTGGTAACAGCTCCTTTATGGCTGGTAAGTGTAGTTTCTTACGGAATCATTTTTGCTACGATGGCTACTATACAGCTATTATGTAAAGTCAGTTCTTACAGTCATTTCAATTCATTACAACTTTAATTTTCCAGCTCATCAGTGGTCATCAGTTACCACCCAGTAACCTGTCGAAGAGTAACAAAGCTGACCCTTTAGTGCAGATAGAAATTTATGGTGTGCCAGAAGATCAAGCAAAAAGAAAATCTAGTGTCATAAAAAGCAATGGTGAGCATCAGTCTTAGTCTCTTAACCGTGAACAAGACAATAATATTTTATATGGAATGGCCATCTTTCCTTCCCAAGAAGCTGCTATGTACTTACAGAGGCTGCAATTATTTCTGTCCAGAGTAGGATCTTCTGGTAAAAAATCTCTAGCAGAAGTTTAAACTATGAGCCATTTTCACTGAATTGCAGATTAAGGAAGGATAAACCCTGATAGTAGCACTCTCTTGAGGGAAGATGGACAATGCCTGGTGTTTACTCACTGTTGTGGTTCAGCCCCAGGAGGCAGCTAAGCACCACACAGCTGCTTTCTCACCTTCCCTTCTCCTTGCACACAGTGGAATGTGAGAAAAAATTGGAGAGGTAAAATTTGTGGGTTGAAATAGTTTGATAGGTAAAGCAAGGCTGTGCGCTCAAGCAAAACTGATAAAGAAATTCATTCAGTCCTTTCCATTAGCAGGCAGATTCCCGTTAGCAAGCTGTTTCCAGGAAAGCAGGGTTTCAACATTCATGACAGTTATTTGGGAAGACAAATGACATAACTCTGAATGTCCTGCCCCTTCCTGCTTCTTTATGCCATCTTGGGGTTACTTAATTCAAGTTCAGTGCAACATCATGTGCTATGGGATATTCCTTTGGTTACTTTGGGTCATGTATCCTGGCTGTGTCCCCTCCCAACCTCTTTTTCACTCCCAATCTCCTTGATGGTGGGGCAATGTGAGAAACAAAAACATCCTTGATTCTGTGTAAGCACTCCTCAGCAACAACAGAAACACCAGTGTGTCATCAACACGGTTTGGGTCACAAATCCAACATATGAGTTGCTATGAAGAAAATGAAATCTATATGAACGCAAACCAGCACACTCATGTAAATTCTTGGAACCTTTTGGGAAGAAATGTCTTCAGCTTCATCATTTAACTCATATGAGGTTTCTAGCAGGCTATGTCCCTTAATTGCTGGACAGATAGTGTGTACTCTCTGTATTTGTCTTCAAGCACTCCCTTATCTTTATCCTATGCTATTCTTGACACCTCAGCTTAAAGGGTTCTCTGTGATCTCTTCTCTGCCACTCTCTTCTATTTTTCCTTTCTCATTTTTGTAGATAGCCTCTACATTCCTTTTCTCTCTGTATAAATATTGAACAGGGCAAACACCACCTCTTCTGTTCTACATTCCCTTCTATATTTTGCTTTTAGTCACATGATCACTTTTCCACCAAAATTTATTCAGCTCCTGCCTCATTTCCAAAACTGTAAAAAGAGAAACCTTGGGAAAAACATAAAATTGGAATGAATGTTGGAAAGTTTAAGTTGATCAGAAAATCTGAACCTGGATATCACTGTCCCATTTTGCTCTTTTTGAAGAGACAACAACAACTTTCCTAGGTGCTTGACTGACACTGTTATATACCCAATATATGACAAATCCATAGAAGGGGATGATATGCATACTGTAGGCAAATCATAGGCTGTCTGCTTCATCTTGAGCACTCCCTTGTCACAGTTTTTATTTCATAATCCATACAAAAGATGTGACCTATATCACTGCAGTCAGTTGGAGTCCTGTCATTTATTTAAATTGGCACAAAAATCTAGAGAAAAAGAAAGAATTCTACCAGTAAGGACTACTGATAGCAGGCACAACTCAGATATTAAATACAATAAATGGTATTTTGATACTATATATTTTCTCTTTTCATTAGCTTTGAGTCCTAGATGGGATGAAACTTTCTCTTTTACCGTCCAAGTTCCAGAACTAGCACTGATTCGCTTCTGTGTACAAGATGAGATCTCTCTGATTGCAAATGATTTCCTTGGTCAATACACTTTACCACTGCTGAGTCTGAGTAAAGGTAACATCTTTTTAAGTGAGTCGCCAGTAACGCTCCAAAGTTATCTACAACAATCCATGCTTTTATCATTACTATAGTATTGATGCAGCACAGCATTATGTGTATTTCCTAGAGAACTGAGTAACACTAGGTTAAAAGTTGAACTCTGTATAGACTCTGAATTAGTCTACAGTGTAGAAATCAAGACACTATTAACGACTGTTAATAATTCCTATTAAAACATTCATTTCAAAACAGAAATTCTTCAGATAGTGTTTTAAATTTTCTGATAGAAAAAAAAGTAAGAGCAATTAGTCAGAACTCTGCATTTTCTACTCAAGCTCCAAACCCCAGTTAGCCAAATTAAAACAAAGCAAAAAAGTCATGAACCCCTCAAGTTATCTGCCCATAACTTTTCAGAGTGCAGAATGAAGAATATATATTAAGCAAAATGTATGTAGTATTTTTCTTAATAGTGTTTCTTCTTTTGTACAAGTTTAGTTCCTGGAATCTTATGTGATTGATAGGCTGCACATAAAAAACAGACACAGAAGTCAGTAGGCCAAGAAGAAAGGCTTATGTAAAATGACTGTTTACTGTACTGGATTTCCAAATGTATTTCTGACAAAGCAAACAGAATCAACTTTTGTTAGTAAATGAAGACATGAAGGCAAAAAGTGGAGCTGGCAGTGGACACTGTGCCTTTTTTTTTTTAATAAAGCTTAGCAAGGTTGTTAATGGCTACGTCTAAATCATTAATATTAAAATCAAATAAATTCATTTATTTATTTTAGTAGAATCATTCAATGTGTAACTTCTCAGTGGCAGCTTCACCACAAGCTACAGGTTGCACTGGGTAAGGACACTTGCTGCCCACCTGTATCTGTATGCAATTTTTCATGCAGTGATTTAGTACTTAGAGGGACTGAAGATGGGAATCTCCCTCTAGCTGGGAGGTTAAAGGCCAGAGGGGTGACTCCTGGGTTATAACCCCTTTGTCTCAGTCCAGTGTAAGGCAGGAATTTAATTGCCCCACATCCTAGCTAGCTATCACTGCATCAGTTAACAGTTGATGATTTCATACAAAGTGGAGTCATTTCAATAACAGAATTTTACTTGATCACAAATGCATGTTTACAAGGTTCATTTTTAATATCTGTTGCTCAGAAGCTGAACCTTAAGTGTAAAGTGAACTTTAACACTGAATAAAAGAATCAAGAAAATCCAAACCCAAAGGAAGGTCCTGAAGATTGTGTCCATGTCCAGACACAAGCAAAAAAGAGTTTTGAGAATTGCAGTTCTCAACTGAACTTTTAGTGACAACAGATATTTAAATGACTGCAGTTGTGTAGACAAAGAAAAAAAACAGAACATTTTTTAACTGATGTGACATTTCTATGAAATAATATATGTTACATTCTTATGAATGTAGGCTTTGGCTTTGGAGGAGGGTGTTTTTTTGTTTTCAGAGCAGGTAAGATAATCTTCAAGTTAAGAACAAGACCTTCTTTAAATGACAAACACACAGTTTCTGAGGGATGCCTTACCTCTGATACTGGGAATCACTCATATACAGAATGCAATTCTTAACAGACTTAAGATTTCATGATAGAAGATCTTATGCCACACTTTTTTTTTTTTTTTTCCTTAGCTGGCAGTGTATTATTGCTGTAACACCACTCTTTTCCCTAAAGCATTATCACTATTGATTCAGAAGTTGTTGAATTTGCAATAAAAAGAATGCATTAAGTATAGTTCCTTGAATATTAGAATGCACGCTTTATTCATATTTAAAGTTTTGCTGCTATTTTTTGTCCAGTCTTCACCTTAAAAAACTGAAAAGATCCTAAAAGATTATATCCTTAGTCTTTTACTCTGTGTCCTGAGGTGCCAGATTCAAAATGTTGTATATGTAGAAGAGAAAACCAGTAGAAATGGGGGTTTGGTTCTGTATCATTTCACTTTATTTTAATGACTTATTCTGAGGTTCATTGCTATGTTACATTTGCACAGTAGATCATAAAACACAACTGTAACCAAGTGTCGTTATTTTTTCAGGTTACTGCACTGTTCCCCTGTTTTCCAAACGTGGTGGCAAACTGGAACCTGCATCTCTGTTTGTGTACGTATGGTACTACTAATAGTGCTCTGCAATAGTTGGCATTCTGGTGACTCACACCCCACTCAATAAAGCAACATCACTTGGCCTGCAACAACCCAGTAGTCTGATTTCCAGAGTGGCATGTTCTCACTGATTTTTTTTAAGCTAATGTGACTTCTTGTGTGAGTAAATGGTATCCTGAATAAGTAATGGCTAGTGAAGTTAGCCCTACTAATAATTCATACAGAGTGAACTGTTTTGAACATTTTGTTGAATTCAATTAATAATTTCATTTGCAGCTAATTGCAAAATTATGATTAATTTCTGAAGATAAAAATTTAATATTTATGATTTTATACTACAAAATTGTAAACTTGTTAACATGCACATATTTATTTGTGTTGACAAAGAGCAATCATGTTCAAGGGAACAGAAAAAAGTGACACATTCAGTTTAAAGTCTCTTTTAACGTATAGCAACGGTAGTTTCTGCTTGAGCTATATCCCTTTAATGTCTACTGAAATTTTGCCATCTGGAAAAACAGTTCTGAGAAAAAGCAGCTCTTAAAATGATAAAAACTTAAGATGGTACTATTGGTACCTTTTCTCAGCCTAATCCTGAACCTCCTGCTGCTAAAGAAAGACAAATAATTCACAGGCTGATTTGTAAAGGGCTATGTTCCTCATAGCAGCAGGAAGCTCAGGATACCTCTTACTGACTGTGAATTTGGGAAATAGGAAGCACAAGGCTTTGAGGTGGATTTGAAGAAGTTTAGGGAAGGTAAATGTTGATTGTATGATTTGAGTTCTCTGAGGGCATTTTTTTGCCTAACAGAGCTATCAGTGCCAATCTCATCCATAAATCATAGTTTTCCCAACTTCCTTAGAAAACTGAAGTATTGCTGAGCTTCCAGAGGACTTTATCTACACTGATTGCAGATCTGTTACTCAAACGTGCATTTTTTTTAAAGTATGTTTTATTGACAGTTTTCTTTCTTTAATATCAACAGAATTGCTTATGTTTGCAGACAGTTCTGATAACATTCTATTTGTAATGCTGTTTGCAGACAGTTCTAATAATATTCTATTTTTAATGCTTATGTTATTTAAAGCCTTTTTAACACTATCTTATTTAATGTTGCTCTAAGATGGAAAATCAGAGTATGCTGTAATCAATGATTAGAAAATGCCACTGAAAATAACACTGTTAGGAAATAGCATTACAGTTGTAATTAGGAAACCAAGGGAGCAGACTAAGAATCTAAAATCAATATTGAACTGTAAGCTCACGTAATTTGATAACATTGTAAGCTGGAAACAATATGTTTTCTGTTCTTGAGTGACAAGTCACTTGATTCTTTACTCAGGAAATCCTATGATCTAAAACGTTAGACTTACTGAACTTTGTAGTGATCATATCTGTATGCTAGCCAATATCTTTTCCTGCGATAAATATTTTATAGTTTTCTTCAGAATTCTACTAATAATAATACTCAATATTCAAGCAGAGTTCCCCCCTAGCTCCTTTTACTGAGGAGGAATTTAATTTCACAAGGCAATCTGGTGTATCTATTCTCAGAAAAAAACTGATCAAGTGACATGGCCAATTGGTTTGACGCTGAGGAAAACTGCAGCTTATTTAGATTCCTAAACACCACTCCTAGTCCCACTTCAGGAGCTTTATACAACATTACCTTCTGAAGTCTGATATGTGAGTGTCCTCTGGGAGAAGAAGGCAATTATCTTCAGCTTCTGGAGTTATTATCCCTCTGTTGACCACTTTTCTACCTGGTAGAACAAATGTCAGATCTACTCAGTATGGTACCTTAAAATTTTACAGCAGATCAGATCACAAATCAACGTGTCTCCTGTGCCTTAAAATGTGCCCTTGCTTCTGGAAAGGTTTATATACATGCTCAGCTCTGCATGTGTATAATAGACTGGCAGTAATGGACATTTCATTAGAGTTGCTTACATGCTAAATGTTCAAAGATGTGCTTAAGTGGTTCTTCGCTTTAGGTAAAAATGCTTTGAAGAACAGAGCCCATGATCAGCCTCAGTGAACTCAGAGGTAGAACTCACATTCATTGGGTATATGTATATGTAGCCCTAAGGTCAATGCTTGTATTCACTTGACTCCCTTATACAGAATAGGAATGCAACGGGGTAGGACAAGTGAACAAAGACTCGTTATAATATGATCTTAAATAAATACAACACTGAAAGCTCACATTCAATATGTTTTATTTATTTGTGAAGATTAGCTCCACATTCCTCCTTTCTTCTCACAATCGACCAGTTGTATCTGCCTCTTAGATGTCAGAATAAAAGAAATGTTGAAATAGCTTATTCACAAATGAGGATCTGAGATATAAAGTTGCATTACATAAACACCAACCTATACTGCACAAAATGTCTTCTGTGCAGTTGTTAAGTTCTTGATTCATTGTTGGTACGCTTGTTTTCAAATGTACAGATTGCATAAGATTTAACATGAAATCTGCTAGACGTCTGAAATGTATTGGCACCCAGGGAATCCTCCCATGGATCCCTCTGCTGAATCATCACATTCAGCGAGTCAGAGTGGACAATGATAAATTACACCTTTATCAGCATTGTTTCAACACCATCAGTGGAATTAGCAGGCAAAGAATTAGGCTCTGACCCACACTCTGATGTGCACTAAATTCAGGGTTTTTACACTGCTATTTCACATGAACAAAAGTCTTGATTGCTGTCATAAGAATACCTGCATGCTCCTACATGTTAGAATGCAATTTCTTAAACTCACCCTAACGGGAATCTGTTGCAAGAATATGGTAGCAATTTTAAGACAATAGCCTTATGATTTGAAATGTTGAGATCAGCAGATGAATGCATATTCTCAAGGGCAACTGAGACAAAATGTACCATGGAAAATGGAATAAAGAAACATTAGCGGATAAATAATTGAATTGTCTTAGACCACATTTAAATTTCACTGTTTCCCAGTGGATACCATTTTTCTTCATTTAACTGGACTCTGCTCAGTTGAATGTTAACAGCTCCCACAAATGTTCCTTTGCTTTTCACAACAAGCTTCAGTATATGGCCTTCAAGTTGCATAACTTTGTTGTACACAACCTGAAATAACATAAAGTGCACAGGAAAGCATAAGAATCTGTGAATTTATTTGACAAGCAAAATACTTCAGTACAGCCTTCCGGATGATGACGATAACTTTACAATAATTACTGTAAGCTGTCCTCCAGAATTCTAAGCTATTAATTATGAGCCAAATTCAAGTCAGTGGATTCAGCTCAGATCTACATTTGATCAATGTAGTTTATCTAAGAGGTGTTCTGCTAGTGTAGGCTTGTGAAGTCTGACTACCAAGCATTTGTAAATAAATTTGAAACCTGTGTTGCAATACTTGATTAAAAAAATATGAATGCATGATTTGCCATGTGAAAATTGGAACTAAGGCAGAGTTTTGAACTCAAATGAGGAGATATATCAGATCTCCACAAATCTCTCCAGGGAAGAATACAACTGTTGGTTTTCCAGTGGAGAGATTAAGATGAAGAGTACTTATCACAGACAGAAGTGTGAAATGGTATTAGGAAAGGTGTAAATGTAAACTTTTAAATATCTGTCCACATCAAATGCTTTGAAAAATGGTGTTTCTGTTCTGAAAAAAACAAAACAAAAAACCAAACAACCCTCTTATGTCTTTTCTTTTTTTCTTTTTGTAACTTGATATATTATTATATTTGTTACATGTTGCTTAATAGTGCCTCAAAACAGCTTTATGTTCCCTCCACATGTCTTATGAAAGTATACCACACAACGCACAGGACTGCAGAATATTGTTATTAGTTTAATATGTTATTATACTAATATAATACATTATGTGATTAAATCTCATGCTACACACCAAAACTAGAAAGGAACATACCAATCAAACCCAAAATTTTATAACCAAGACTTCCACAAAATTCCACAACTGCTCTAGATCAGAAATCCGCATCATGAAAAAGAGAATAATTTTCCTTTGAAATTTGTATACATTTTACTATTTCAATAAAAATAGCTGTATATGTGATCCTGGTTGTTAACTGTATTTAAATGTGCCCACTATAATATGTGCATTTTTTAAGGGACTTATGGAGTTAACATGACAGAAAGCTCAGCCCACTCAGTAGATGCTGTGGGTGTGGAACATGTCTGAGATTGGCCCCCAGTTTAGCAAGTGGAAACAACTAAATCTGGACGTTTCTGTTAGTTGAGAAGTGCTGTTAATGCTTCTCAAATTAAATGACACAGCTTGCTTAGCATCTCTTTAGAAAATTATTAAAGCCTATAGTTTCAAAAAAATATCTTTGAAATTACCTTGGTGCTGTGAGAACACAGATTAATTACGAAATGATAATGCAGTGGTTTCTGAATTAAAAAAATAAATCTGGAGTGATAGGCTAACAACAATGAGCTGCATTCCGAATAGGCTCCTATGTTTCAATCTCTGCATTAATCAAAAACTGCTGAGTGAACTGAGTACAGCTTGATAGAATGTGAAAGAACGCTGTCAGCTAGATCCAGGCCTCAAAGGAAAGCTTTGTTAGAGAAGTGCGTTTAATCTAAAATTTGTATGGATGGAAGTGTTTCCAATGTTTTTGCTATTTTAGTTGCAGTGGAAAATGTTTAAAATTTTAATCTCACCATGCAGCTTAAAAAGCAAATGCAGTAACACTGTCACTTCACGAGGATGGGAAAGTGAAACTGCCCACAGTGAGCCTGCCATGCAGCCTGCTTGGATTTACTGCACAATCTGGATGCAGTATGAAGAGGAAAGTCAGACTGAGCTTCCCAGCCTCGCCTGGGTCTCTCTGGGCTGGACTGCTCCCTGCACTGTGCGTTGTGAGGAGCAGCAGTGACAATCAGTGACACACTTCAGTCAGAGATGAAGGCTAAGCCCCAGCAGTGTTCTTCTTGCAAGGGACAGCCAGAGGGTGAACTTCACAGGCGGATCCAGGAGGTGTGAGATCTCTGGTTCTCCCAGGCAATCCTAACAGGGCCGGGCTGTTCTTGTGAGACCACAGAGCACTCTGGTCCACGACAGGTGGGCACTAGAACAAGCTCCCTGGTGTAGTGGGATGGTTGATGTGCCAACAGTGAACAGCCACAGGATTGCTGATAGAAAAGCTGACTCATCATTCTTTTTTACTGGCTTTTACTAGAAATGTCTTACCAGGCTGCAGTCTGGTAAGTCTAATGTGCCAATTTGGAAACCTTTGGAAATTATAGCTTAGGACAGCTGTCATGACAGCGGTGCCAGCGCCTTTCAGTTTATGTTTACTGAGTGCCTTCTTCATCAAATTGTGTATGAATACAAAAACCCAGCTTTCCCGTCTTCTGATAGCATATCTGACCAATATAAAAATGACCTTAAAGTGTCATCTTGGTGGCTTTCAATAGATCCCAAAAATTGTTTCTAAAATGATTATAATCAGGGAGTGGGGACTGAAGAAAGCCTGTAGACAGATGAATTACATGTGGGCAAAAGAAATATTCCCCCAGTCAGAATTTCATAACAAGAACAGTTAAATCCTGAAATCCTTGTTTAGTAACAATATTTGCCTCCTAGTTGGATCAAATGGAGGTGTGTAATGCACAGGTGGCCCACATCAGTGGGACAGCTAGGACTGGTTCACACATTCAAGTGTTTTTGGTTCCAAAAAGAAAAGCACGTTGTCTAATGGCATTTTAATGATAGATAAGGGAAAGTTGGGGGAACGTCAGTAGCCATGACAAACTTTGTAGATTCACCCTTAATTGTCCAAATCAGCACTGAAGCACAGTGGTGCAGTTAGCTGCTGTGGCTTTGGGCACAGGTCCCCTTCTCCTCTGTTATGCCTGGGCTGTTAGTCCTGCTGCAGGTCAGCAGCTCCCTGCTCTGAAGGCAGCTGCAACAGCACTCGGGCTGATGTAGCCTAGGGGTTTGTTCATGTTTGCCCTTCCACACCACGTGCGGGATGGAGAGAATTCCCTCTTGTTCTGGCTTCCCCGTGGCAAAGCACGCCTATTCCTGCTATGGAGGTTCACTCATTCTAGAAGTGTGTGACTCTAGGTGCTTTAGAGACAAAGTACAGCAAGTGTGAGGACTTGAAGTGTGTCTCATAACAAACATGACACACAAGAAAGACCCCGCTGTCATTGGTTCTGCACATTGATCCTTTTCTCAGTGAGAATTTGAACTTAAATAATTCAGACTTATTTTCAGTTTTCTAACTTTTCTTTGTTCCCACTAAACTAATCTGAAATCTCCCAAGTGATTCCTATTTATTGCCAGTAGCCTAACATCTGGCATATTATTCTGTTTCTCCTTACCTTGCATCCCATTTTTCTGAGATAATCATTTTTTAATTCAATGTTACACCAATATGAGTGCAACAAACTGAAATCCAAATACAGGAACAAGAGAAAAGGAGTGCTTGTTAAAAGCAACTCCTAAGCATTCAGCATGGTTCATTTTATTGCTGGTCCTCCTGGACCTTCGCATCTGTAATCTCACGTATGAGTAGAAATCAAAAATAAAATGCACTTTTGCAAGGTTGATAATTTGCTGTAGGCAGTCATAAGCAATAAAAGTACAAAACTAAAAGCAAAAATACCCAAGAGAAGCACATTTCAGAATTTTCTCAGTCTCGAACATGGAGAGAAATTAATCTACAGCTTCCTTCCAGCCATTTGGCTTTAATAAAAACTTATGAACTCATAAAAAAGGCTAGTACATTTCTGTACACAGCATTTTGGACAGTAACTAACTTAAAAGACAGCTGACTTATATTTTTAGCTGTTTTCCTTCCCTGGGGCTTCTTCTGCCTCAGTCTACCAGCCTTGGACAGAAAATGCATACAGAATGATATCGCATATGGAGGAGCAGAGCTGCTAACAGTACAAGCTTTGGGTTTGAAATGCCCAAGTTCAGCAGAGCCATATGTCCCCACTGTGATTAGCAGCTCCTGGTGAAAAAGACTGAGCATCTGTGAAGAAGGCTGTAAGTTTTGAGTAAAGAATATTTAAGTGTGCATGAATTTTCTCTTAACAGCAGAAGGATGACCCTTAACCACAATTAAATCCCCTCCCAGCATTTCAGACTACTGTCTGACTGCACCTAGAGTTTTGGATTTTATGGCATTCAAATTGGTCTAACAATGATTAGAAACAAAACTGTGTTACTGAATGGTTAAACGGTTCTTGACCGTACCACATTTTGGAAAATTTTAGAAGAATATTAATATAGAAACGATTCTATTTCTTCTCTTTAAATAACCTTCAAATATAAAGAAATAGCTTTTGCTAGGCCAATTAGCCACATTCCACTCCTTGACTGAGAAAAAAAAAAAGAAAAAAAAGAGGAAAAAAAAGTGGAAAAATAAAACCTAGTTCCTTTTTATTCCCAGGCAATAATATAGGGAGCAGCAATAGCAGTGGAGGAGCCTTCTTACAGCAGTGCTGGAAGCCTTTAATATAAGTAGGTAGCTTTGTAATCAGCTAGAAGTGGGAAAAAGAAAAAAAATAAAAATCCCAGGAGGGGGAACTGGAAGATAAGGACTCAGTCTCAGCTAACTAACTTAATTTTAATTGTATCTTATCTGTGAAACAGGATATAGTGGCCATACTTTCCATGAAGGTTACTCAAAGTATGTTTGTAAATTGCCTTGAGATCCTTAGGAGATCTAGAGATTTGCTTCACGTAATACTTATCATTTTCAATCCTACCTGCTGTTTGAATCTCATCTCCTCCTACAAAAGGACAAAGGTTATTCTGCTTTCCATTTTGTAGTCAACATTTCTCCGTCCAAATGATTCCTTACACCCCAGAGGCATGAGCACTTCAGTGGTAAGTGAAATAATTGTACACGGCTGTGAAACACTGGCATCTCTACATAAAAAGGACTGGACTATTTATTATTGTGTTATTATTTGGGATGGTGACAACCAATTTGGTTGTCCATTTTCGAATGTGATTTTGAGCAACAGCACCCATTCAATTAGTGCTTTTTGTGCTATTACATAAATCGGAATTAAAATCAGCCTAGGTTTTAGTGCAGTGATACTGGGGCTCATCTGGCTATCGTGTAACAGTGATTACCATACAAGACCAAACAGAGTAAATAATCCAACCACTTTCCCAAGCAGAAACACATAAAAAGACGGTCTCACTGCTGAGAAAGAAGCAATAGAAAGGATTTTTCCCATTTATGGTTCAGCTTACAATAGATTCCTTCTGTTTGATCATACTTGTGACAGCCCTTAGAGCCACATTGTTGTATTATTTCAAGAGAAGATAACAAAAATAAAATGCATAAGAAATGATGGAAGAAAATGAAAAGTACTCACAATTTCATTGTAAGTAGGGTTGGTGGTTTTGGGAACCGTTCTTGTTTTCCTTTGATTGACTTCATCAGGATCCGGCAGAAGATAAAATTCAGCATGTGCACTTGGAGCAGAGCCATCTGGGAGGTGCTGAAAAGCAAAATGGTCATAAACATGAATGCCCAGGTTCTAGCAAAGAAAACAAAGAAAAATAAAGAAGTACCAAATGAAATCTGGACTTTATGCAGACACAGAAACATATCACATCCTGATCTCTTGGCTAAATCAGAGTGCTAGTGCAGCAAACGACAGATACTCTTAGAATTCAGCTTTATGCTGAATCAGGCAAAATCAATGAAATCATACAAGAACAATGTGAAGTTACCTATCTTTAATGTTTTATTTTCTGGTCCTTAAGCCTCAATCTGCTATAACTCAATTTACACCGAAAACAGTCTAGGCCTTCCATTTTCTAGAGTAATGTATACAAACTGGATTTTAGCTAATATGTTCTCATTGGTTATAATCCTTAAGTAGTGCAGGGCTGACACTGAGGAGAACTGGCTTTTTCTAAGGGCATTTCAAAACACATACAACTGTAGAGGAGCCAGAAGCACTTTCTATAGCAGTATGGGCAGAACAGCATTCTTATAATAACAGCCTGCCTGATCTCTCCCATCACACAGCTGCAAACTCTCTTTAGTTTTCAAGTTTAAATTACTTTATGGTATTCCAGATACTCCAGCTTATGGGAGCTACTCCAAATCAGAACTGAGCCATTAACTGGCTCAGTCATAAGTTATAGCTGGTGGGTGGACAGCTTCTGGATAACCTCTGGACAGCTGTAATCTTATTACTAAAGCAACATTATTGTCACTTAGAAAATATATTGGTAATTTAAGAGGCTTTAAAGGAACATACAAAGTGTATAATGATGAAGAACTGTGGAAAATGTATCTGTACATGCCTTAGTGCTCAGCTTATAATTTAGCAGGTATCTTTGTGTTAGTAAAATAGTAGTATACAAACAGAAAACACAAACAGAGTCATAAACACACAGGTTTTTATCAAAATATCGACAATTTCAGTAGTATTATTGGTATTTTAGGCATCAAGCTGACCTGACAGCTCCCAGGCAATGCAGTATCAGGATGCAAAAGAACGTGCAGATGAAAGAAGAGACCTTAAGATATCTGGAACACATGAACCCAAAGGAGAAGCCAAACACTGCATTTATATTTCCCACTGTAGCTTTCCCTGGCTCAGAATAAAGTAGTTTCTCAGATTTTGATTATTCACAGTATGTGACTGGAAATATGGGGCTTTCTACAGACATCATCAACAATGTCTTCCTGTAATAGGAGACGCTGCTGGTGTCCTAGAAAAAATAGCTTTCTGCTAGGAAGAAAAACAGTGCTTGTATGTGCGAGCAACCAGTTCTTGCATAACAAATCTGTTTTTTGTTATCTGAAATGATCCTTCAAGGCAGATGATGTGGTCAACTGGAAAGACTAATATTGCTATACAGAATCAAGGGATGTACTACTCAAATCATTACATAGTGTCAGCACTAGGTGAATGATTAATGTTACTGTCAGTAAGCTTTGCAAAATATATCTGATGTAAAATATATTTGGGATTAAGTTAGCTAGGATTCAGCTACCAAAATGAGAATGCCATTAAATGGCATTTTCCCAGGACACAGTACCATATTGTTAAAACAGGATTTATAACTTACACTATCAATTTAAAAGCCCATCTCTATTGATCTGGGACCATATTAAAACTTCAGTCAAGATTGACAAATAACAGTAAATTGAACAGTCTCTTAAAAACCAGGAAATAGAAAACAATGTAGCCTTGTACTACTCCAAGTAACCTGGATCCTATCTGTATAAAGCTCTTCCTTCAATGAATAGATAAGCATCACTATAACTAACTTGAGGGTCGATGGATTTTGGTCATTTCAGACACAAAAAATAATAACATTTAAAAAAGGAGTTATTGCCAACTCAACTGCTGCAGCCCAGCATAAGGATCTTCACCTTCTCAAGCATGGAAATGCTATAAAAATGGGATAGTCTTGTAAAATGTCAGGCTTTATAAGTCATACCAGTGCTGCATTGCCTAACCAGGGGCCATGTCAAAGCTAATATCGAAAGCTAAGGTAAGCAGCAGCTGAAAAGGGCACTGGGCTGAGAAGGCCAGCTGGTAGGCAGGAGACTACAAAGGTAACAGGGAGGACAAATGCCTCTGCCTGGTTCCATTTCTCTTTCAGCTGCTGAGACAGGTCCGCTCTGTGCCCATTGCTCACCAGGGAGAGCACTGTCACAGATCATGGCAGCTCAGCCTGACAGTCATCTGCCAGGGAAAGAACTGAAGCTGACTGCTGTGTGGTGGTTTAACAGAACCTTTGTACCATAAGCACACACAGTGGGTTGAAATAGAATCAGATAAAATTTCGCCTATGCCTTACAGTTGCTCCTTGTCTTCTTCTGGCTCATTAGCGAGCCTTCAGCCAAATCACTTTCCTCCATCAGTAAACTTCTCCCAGAATCACAGAATGGTTTGGGTTGAAAGGGACATGAAAGCCCACGCAATCCCAACCCTCTGCTGTGGGTAGGTCTGCCACTGAGCAGTTCAGACTGCCCAGGTTCCCATCCAACTTGGCCCTGAATGCCTCCAGGGATGGGGTACCCACAGCTTCTCTGGAAAGCCTGTGCCAGCACCTTGTTCCCTTCTGAGTAAAGAATTTCCTCCTTTCATCTAATCTGAATCCTCTTTTTAGTTTAAATACAAGGAAGACTCTTTGCAGTACCACTGTGCCTCATGAAACATGGAGAGAAAACTACTTCCACACTACTCCTTTGAAAGCAGCTAAAGATATGTTGAAAGAGGTGAGTAGGAGGAGAGGGTCAAGACGGAATATCAAAAGAGAATATTTTAGCAATTCACTGAAGAAAACTCAGGGCAGAGCAGTTGCTCAGGGATCTTTCAGAACTAAAAACAAAGCCACTTTTCATGAATAGCAGCAATCAGCCGCCAAACTCTTAGAGGTAATTTAAAAGGCAGCCACCTGAATTCCAACTAGAGATTCTAGTTTCGATTGTCGTCTTGACTTTTTTTTTCTTCCCACTTCACAGATGTTTTCCCACTTTTTCTTTCTCTGCTGAGAAGGCAGAGGGAAGACAACTCCCAGATTCCACAGTTGTCCCAGTTCTCCTTCTGCAGGGCACTGTTATGCCATCAAGTAATCAAGGAGCTTCAGCTGAGCACTGTTCAAGCCAGATCATATATTCCACTACTCAACTGCCCTGTCCAGAATCCTAATATGAAACAAAACAAAACATCTTACAAAACTCTCTCACTGTCCCAAAGAAAACTTTGTCCCATTACAAACTCACCACTGTAAACTTTAGAGGATGACCGTGATCAGCCAAGGCTTTACAAGAGCAGACTCCAGATATTGCATACAGTGAGTTTGTTGGCTTTTCTTCTCATTGGCACAACAGCAAAATCATTTTGTATGAAGAACTTCCTTCTCTAAAGGATTGCTAGAGACAAGACTCATGGTGCTATTGGAAGGGAGTGTACTATGCTAGACCATCTCCAACAGGAATGAAGTGGGATATTGGTGGTTTAAGAATCATGGTTTGAAAACAAGAGTGAGATTAATGTGCTGGAGTTATCTTTTAAAAATCTAAAATAAATGAAATTTGAAGTAAATTGCTTTAAGATGAATAATATGGAAGGAAAAACTCAAAAACTTTTGGGAAAATTAGATCTTTCTCAGTCTTTCATATATGAGTTGAACATTTGTTTGAATAAGAGAAAATGGAGAAAATATAAGAACTGTTTTTTAGAGATTGTCTTCTATCATATTCCAGAATGTCACACTTAGTGAACAGACATGCTGGATTGTCCTTTCACCTCTGACACTCTGCACTGGCAGATTTATAAATTTAGATAAACATGAAGAATATCTGACCCAAATACCACCCTCATTTACTCCAAACAGTATCTTTCTGAAATGGGTCCATTATAAACATGGAATAAGATTTCTAGCTGCTTTATGGGTGAATTCTGAAATCCAGCCAAATAACCCCTTTATTATCAGTGGATCAAATGTGACTCACATCTGTTCATAGTCCAAGCCAGAGGAGAAATCAAACAGTACCATAGGAATTCCATTTTGCACTTTAACTACTTTGCAAAGCCCTTACAGCTTGTACATACTTGTAATCAAGCAGAGAAAAAAAAACAAAAACAAAACCAGCTTAATACTGAATTCCACTTATGTTTAATCCTCTAATATTTTCATTAACTTGAACGTAATGTAAATTTACTTCCTTTAAACAAAGTTACTTCCAATTTTAATTATGATCTTACTTTTTCGACTACGTATTCTTGTAAACAAATTCCAGCAGTAAAAATCTGTAAGGCTGCAAAGGTTTAAAAGCAAGTTCACAACAGAAATGCCATAACTCTTCTTGCCATGTGTATGGACAAAAAAACCTAACAAACAAATACAATCCACAACCCAACAGTGGTTTTGATCTGCCAATTAAACAAATGAGTTGAATTTCTAGGCAGACTCCCAGTAATTTCTCCATATACAAACAAGGCTCTGCTGTATAATTTTCTCAGAGACTGACCTGTTTACTTGACCCTACTAATGACTCAAGGAGGAACTCAGCTATAACACTCTGTATATGGTTTTAAAAAATCAGTTTATTTTTAAGATGTTATTTTCTACTAAAGTCTCAAAGAAAGTAATGAAAATATTGAAAAGGGGGACAGAAAGAAAAGAAATAATGATCTGTATCTACTTCTCTCCACATCTGTAATTCAATACTGAAAAACTAATACAGACATGTCTCTGTTATGTCTGTGTTCCATTTTTCACTCCAATTTTATTTTCTGAAACTGAAAAGATATTGATATTTACTTACAGAAACCCACATAGATAGGTTATGTCTCCTGTAATTTAATTTTAAATATGCTAGCTGTAGCTGGGAAATAATAGATGAAATTCAATTAATTTTTCCATGAGAATCACATTATCTTAATGACTTCTCTCCCTTAGTCATTACTAACCATCCCCAACTCTTCTTCACAATGGATTCTTTGTTAACATTACAAAAGGGCCA